GTTTGTTTACAGTTTGTTTTAATGTGAAACCTAAGCCAGCTGAATTATAGTCACAGTGTTCCGCAATCCGAAAACTTACTGTCAGGTATATCGTTGAGACGGACGAGGCATATTCTTTTCACTGCGATTATTACGGGCAAAATTTCTGACCAAATATCATAAGTTCACTTAGTTTACCCTCGAGCAAACTGCTTCTTTGACTCCCTCGTCCAGCGAATACTTAGTCGCCTGCAGAATCAATTGTCTTTTTACTGAAATCGAAGAGAAACATAGATCATTGTTTCATTATTGTTTTGTGTGTATGTGTGTGGCCGACAGTGGTCAGGAGTAATTTCAATATCGGTCTCTAAAATAGCTTAAGATGTGGTTGGGTGCGTGAACGAGAACAGCACGTAATATTTTATTGAACACTTCTGTTGTAACGCAACGCTATCAACTTATAAGTCACGTTTTGTTTTGAGCTTGGGTCGCCTGTGACTTGTAGCTATAAACACAGAACGTTCATTGTGTAGTTTGCAGTGGTGCGTGTGGATTTGTAAAAGCTTATGGAAGTAGAAAAATATTAGCGCAAAGCTGGTAAGTCCACCATTAATGATATTGTCAATTAAAATTAAGCCCTTAAATTTCAGACATCGTTACTGGCTTCTCTCTCTCAGCTCGAGCTGTGCACATTCCAAATTCGAACTTAGCCAAGTTTGTGCAGTGTGCGTTCTGCAGCTTACGGTGTTGCACAGTTTGAACCATCTAACTATCTTTTGTTATCATTTGCATGGTCAGTAGAGCCATTTTAAGCTTTCTAGGATAATTGGTAAGCTCTCAATTGAGTTCTTTTCCAAAACGTACATCATACGCGCGCGTTAAAATTTTCACCGTTATTTTTTTTTTTTGCGCTTTCTACATGAATAAGCTTGTAGTTTCATTAGAAAATGAATAGTTCTCTCTAGGTTTGGTATAAAGCATGCAACCTTCGAAGCTCAGAAATAAATTTCAATGTAGTATTTTCAGTGAAAAGCATCTGAAGTGAGTACCGTAGTCAAAGATTCTACAGCTCCAATACAAAATCCATCCGGGGGGGAGGGGGTGGGGTGGGCACCCAAGGGAAGTTAGGTAGTGAGGTGTTCGCCGGAGGCCTTCAAACCCTGACCCTGTTGTAGACAAGAGACCTTGGGTGCTTACCATTTGACAGAAAAATCCGGTTGAGGGGTCGAAAGCATAATGGTAAGCGATTTACCAGTTTACCGTAGAAATGTCACATCCCTTACGGGTTGAATCCAAAAAAGGGCGAATTTGTGTAGCGTGAGTCTGGAACCGAGAGGTAACCGAGAAATTAGTTAATGGTAAGCAACATTCCGTTTGGTTTGTACCAACCGGAATGAAAGGACTACCTCAAAACGTACTCCTCAATTTTCGGTTGGAATTTCCGAAACGTGGTCTTACCATTTATCTTCCATCCGGAATTTCCGAAATTTTCTGTCAAATGGTAAGCACCCCTTTTATCATGTCCCTTTCTCATTTTGTTTTGCATAATTTAAGTACAATGTCCAAAAACAAAACTGTCGGTACCACAAATATGTAGTCTGCTCCGGTACCACAAATATGTAGTCTGCTCATGGTCAACTTTCACACTTTTTTATTCCAAAAGGACATCCTGTTCAAGATGCTAAATAGTGAAATTGTATACCCTGTCTAAGACTCAAGATCTGGAAAACCATACCTTGTTCAGGCGACCTGTGACACCTAGTGCCGGTCCCAAAAGAGTCATTAGTGAGTTAAAGCAACAGAATGGCAGGAAGAAGCTGAGAATGGCAAAACTCTTTTGTGTGACAAATGTCATGATCTTCACTTAACATTTTCCTGGTTGTTTACAAAAAGATCTGTTTAAACGAAAGTGAACTTTGGCAAAAGTTATTTTAACAAAATTATTGTCACACTTGTCACACAAGGCTCACATTCTTCTTTCCTCTCCTGTCCTGTTGCGTAAGCTCGTTATTCAGTACATGTGTGCACAAATGAAAAAGTGTCGAAGCAAGGGAAAGGTTAATAAAAACAAAACAAAATAAAAATAAAACAGATGGGTCATTTTACATGACAGGATGGCTCCTAGTTATGGTTGCAATAACTGAAGCACATTCAATGTTTTTTTCACAATTTTTGGTTTCCAGAGAGAAGCCAAGTGATAAAGGGATTAAATGCTGGTGCTAAACGTTGCAAAAGACAGCTAATTAGGTTGTAAACTAAAGCAAAAATGGCAAAAGAACAGCGCTATGTTGCAGAGCCTTTGACATACCTGGTATTCAACCTCTTTGATAATGTTGAATGTTGAAGGTTTCATTTTAATTAACTTTGTTTAAAACTCAAGGGGCAAAACTATGACAAGGCATAGCACATTGAGGGAAAAATATCTTGTTATGCCAGGTTTTTAAAACTTTATTGGGAAAACAGTTAAAGGTATTTCCTGGTTCGCAATTTCCTGCGAGTTTCAGATCATAAAGTACTTATTGCCCAGGTGTGGATGGATTTCCTTCTCAGTAGTACATGCTCTTATCATTTTCAATGTACCGTTGGTTTAAACACATTCTTATTAGATAACAGAGATATGTCTTTCAATTCCGTGCTCTAACAGCGTCCACTGCGGCCCCTGGCACCTAATTGTTTTTCTTCCTGGCAACTAGAAAATCTTGATTTTATAATGTTATTTTTTTAAGATTTCACTGGTTCAGAACACTGGGCTCCCTTCAATTTTCCCCTGCGGTAGGAGGGGGGGGTACTCCAGATTTCACATGACAGGGATGATCGAATGAGGGCAAAACTAGAAACCCAAAAAAATCCCACGCCGAATTCCTGAGCCATAAAGATTTCCAGATAGCGTTAAATGATATCACACGAAAAAAAAAAAAGCATTAGTTTTGAATACCCAAAAAAATCCCTACTTAAATCAAGCTACCTGAAAAAATACTCGCCAAAATTTTCCTACCCAAAAAAATCCCGAAATTGAAAAATAACATTTCAAACCCCCCCAAAATCCTTCAATCATCCCTGTCACTTGAAATCTGGAGTACCCTCCTTGGGGATTTTCCGAAGTGTACAGCCTTGTCTTTCATCGTAGCCTGTTCTCAATATCTTCAGGGTTATCATTACTTTTTAAAGTAGAAAAGAGCCCAAGGTTGAGTAGGCGGGAAAGTTGGAAAGTTTGGTTTGAGAGTGGAAAATTACCATTTTGGTTGAAGGCTGGTACTGTTCTCAGAGCACACTGTTGCCGCTACCCATGTCCCAGCTATAATTGAAACCCTGTATACATTTTTTAACAGTTCGTCTCAGAAAAAAAACGGAAGATTTTTCTCCTGCTTTAGCTATTGGGGCCTCTTTAATATTAGAGATGTAGATTGAAATACTTTCATATTGCATAATAATGTACAATTACAATACATAAGTTGTGTTTACAACTTACAACTTACAACACGGGCAGGTTTAAAATAGTGTCACGAGCCATTCGTTTTTATTTTATGAAAATATCAAACCACAAATGCAATTTTGTTCAGTGGGAAAAAGTACTATAGAGGCCAGGATGGTCAATGATATAATTTGTTATATAGAGTGACAATATTCAGTTCATTGTACTGCATGAATAATTAACAACCTCTTATTTTTCATCTCCGCTACCTTTTCTTTCCCTGGGCATCTTTGTCTTACGTTTACATCCGTTACGGTCAAGTAATTGTACACAATCAGAATCAAACAATTCAAAACTGCAACTAAGTGTAGGCAGTTGGGTATTTACAAACCCGACAAACGAGACGTGGCCGAAGAGTTAAACTCGAGCTTTTGAATCCTCCGGAACGGAATTGGAACGCTGGACTTCGGGCTGACTGCTCGGCAAACGAAGCATGGCGGAAGAGTTGTGCTCGAGCCTTCGAGTCCTCCGGAGTGGATCTGGAACACTGGATCTCGACTGACTGCTCGGCAAAAGAAAATGGCCCTGAGGCACTGAGATGAAAACATAAATAATTTAAACTAAGGCTTAAATTTTAGCTCAATTCCCAGAACGAAATTTTCAAAAGACGAGGCGAGGAAAAGGTTCTAAGTTTTATTACTTTCGATGGCGTACATTTTATTGTCTTTATTGCTTTATTACTATATTTTATTGTTTTGGCAAACATGAAAACTGAGTTTCAATCTTCGTACTTCATCTTTAGACAGTTTATATTAAGGTGACTCGACCCAGTTTTTTTGGGGGGGTACCATCCTACTTTGAAGCTCTCTGGTATCCCCACCTTTACTTTTATCGTAAGTCTAACACATAGAATGGATAACATATAGATCAATCTACAATATAACATAAAATTCTTGGCGATCGGAGTAAATGTCACGTGGTTATAATGCCACGCCCCTTTGAGGTCTGAGTCGAAAATCTGCTGTTGCAGGCATTTTTTTCGTGAAAATCTCTCGGCTACACATAGCGCGCAATAGTGCCTTGCGCTGAACAGAGTTTCACCAAAATCGCAAAGACCCAATTCGAGAAATTCAGCGGTTTCCAAATTTAGGTCATAATTTATGCGAAAATGATAAGCAAACTTTACACGGATTATATCTAATAAACTATGAGATTCATCTCTTTATTTTGCGCATCGTTATAACAGAGGGGTCCTTGCAAGTCAGCAAAACGCTTTAGGGCCTTGTAAATGCGCGCGATTTCGAGCAAAGCAAACATATAGAAATTATAGTTTTCGCTATTTGTTGACGTTTGTCAGCGTTTAAGAGTCCTTCTCACGAAAAAAGCATTTTCTTAAAAATTCGTAGTTTTTTTTCCTTCAAATTTTTTCAGGGCCACAATTGATTAACTAACTACCCGGACTCTGAATTTCATGGTCATTGAAAAACTGTGACATTATCTTCTATAAGCCCAAACTTGAGTAAACATTGAAGATTTTTAGCGTTTTGGCTGAGTTTGTGCTTTGGGAGTTGTCTATTGTTTCTAGTCTGTCATTATACAGCATTCTTGTTCAGCACGCGTGCAATGACCACGCTTGGCTGACTTCCGAATGCTCACCGAGATATTCCCGTCACGAGTTGGTTTAATTATTGGCTTGCATTAAACCTATGAAAAAATGATATTTTTTTAATAGTAAGTAGATTTAGTGTGTAGCACTTCTTGATTTTTTTGCAAAGGCACAAGAAGCACGAGAATTGATTAAAAATTGTGACTTAAACCTCTATGTATCACGCGATGGCCTGTCTCACTGTACCAAAATTATTATATCTCGGTGAGCATTCGGAAGTCAGCCAAGCGCGGTCATTGCACGCGTGCTGAACAAGAATGCTGTATAATGACAGACTAGAAACAATAGACAACTCCCAAAGCACAAACTCAGCCAAAACGCTAAAAATCTTCAATGTTTACTCAAGTTTGGGCTTATAGAAGATAATGTCACAGTTTTTCAATGACCATGAAATTCAGAGTCCGGGTAGTTAGTTAATCAATTGTGGCCCTGAAAAAATTTGAAGGAAAAAAAACTACGAATTTTTAAGAAAATGCTTTTTTCGTGAGAAGGACTCTTAAACGCTGACAAACGTCAACAAATAGCGAAAACTATAATTTCTATATGTTTGCTTTGCTCGAAATCGCGCGCATTTACAAGGCCCTAAAGCGTTTTGCTGACTTGCAAGGACCCATCTGTTATAACGATGCCCAAAATAAAGAGATGAATCTCATAGTTTATTAGATATAATCCGTGTAAAGTTTGCTTATCATTTTCGCATAAATTATGACCTAAATTTGGAAACCGCTGAATTTCTCGAATTGGGTCTTTGCGATTTTGGTGAAACTCTGTTCAGCGCAAGGCACTAATGCGCACTATGTGTAGCCGAGAGATTTTCACGAAAAAATGCCGGCAACAGCAGATTTTCGACTCAGACCTCAAAGGGGCGTGGCATTATAACCACGTGACATTTACTCCGATCGCCAAAAATTTTATGTTATATTGTAGATTGATCTATATGCTATCCATTGTATGTGTTAGACTTACGATAAAAGGAAAGGTGGGGATACCAGAGAGCTTCAAAGTAGGATAGTACCCCCCCAAAAAAACTGGGTCGAGTCACCTTAAGACTTTTGTTAAAGATAACTTTCAATTGTCAAACAATTTTAAGCAAAGGTGTTATACGTCTGTAACCCCTACATTGTCACGACAAAACATTAATATGGCAGAGCCCGGCTTCACTATGTCTGTCTGTTTCTAAAAGCGAAGAGCGCCACCAGGGGGTAGAGAAATTATAAAACCGAGTAACAAAAAAAAACAAAACAAAACAAAACAAAACAAAACAAAACGGGCTTCAGGGTATTCTAGAATCGTCTTATTAAATAACTAAGCATCTAACATTAAATATTTATTCCTCCGGCTAAAAACCCTGAATCACTTACATGTTGCCTTTGGTTTATTGTCATCGGCGTCCGTGTCACATTTAAATTAGCTCTTATTGCCGAATTTCAGTTAGAACGAATTGATTTCACCTTAATTAAAAACTTCATAGTTAATGCATAATAATCGTGAATCGTTATTGAATTTGCACGCCGAGCGTTTTTTCTAGTTAGGGCGATATCGATGTGTCAAACACGGATCGCCGTTAACACTCTGGGCGCTGACATTTTTGTGTTTATGTGATGACCATCGCATCACTGCACTGAAGGTATTCTTACGGAACACAAATTAATTTTTGTTTTTTCACATCTAGGATACCCTGGTGAGCTTCAAGGGTAAAACGTAAATTATTTTACAGTGCACAAAGTCAGCGTGGTAATACTTGTGCCCTCTCCAGTCAAAATACAGTCGACTCTCTCTTAACGGACACCTCTATAAGAAGGACACCTCTGTAAAACAGACACCTAGAGTTGGTCCCTGCCTTTCTTTACTCCCTTTATTTGACTCTCTATAAGACGGACACCTCTCTAAGACGGACACTTAGAGCCGGTCCCAAAAGTGTCCGTCTTAGAGAGGGTTGACTGTATGTCTCCGAAATAACTGCTGTTGGTACGGGTCAGCTGACGGGTGGCAAGGATTGGCAATGACCGAAACTTAAAAAAAAATGCGCCAAATTTTTCAAGTTTTAATTCTCATTGCCTGCAGAAATCGCCAAAAAAGTATTATGGTTAAGTATTGCGGTTAAAAGTATTATGGTGCTTCTGGATAAAATTTTCTTCATATCTATTGACATAAAACGGCACAATCCTCGTAGCAAAGCCACCTTAACCCTTTAGGTCCCAAGCGTGACCAACTTCAATTTTCTCCTAACAACATCAGCAGATCTTTAAGAGTAATGGTTATGAGAATTACTAAATTGATTACAGTAGGGAGAATGCGTTGATCTTAAACCAAACTCTCTCAACTACTCTTGAAAGAAATACATGGAGATCAGTTTGGAGAATTTGTGTGTGGATATTCGGGGTTAAAGGTTAAGGGAGACTGCCAGAAGTATAACTATTCATCGTCCGAAGTTGGCGGAGAAGGCCTGGAGATAATAACTCCAGGAACTTGCAAGAAGATGCCAAATATGGAGAGAACAACAGCCACAAGATAACAAATCAAGAAGAGCCAGTTGATTACACGTGCAGCAAGCTGCCATTCTTCTTGTACCCTGTCCTCATCTTGTTTCTTCAACACCCTTTCTGCCATCATGGTGATGCCGCTAGGTTCTCTGGGAAGACGTCTACGAATGCGGGAGCCGCCGTCACTGTCGCTCATGGTTACAGCGTTATCTCCTTCGTCTGAAATTTTTTAACAGAACTTGAAATAAGTTGCATTTTAAAGTTTTCCTTGTTACCTCGTTCATTTGCATTACACCAATGGATTGGTCGTAAAATCGGTACTGCGCAGTTGTTGAATCTATAGGCTTGCAGTCCGCCTTTTCTCTTAAAATCCGTCTAGTTTTTATCTCAGCCAGCGCGATTGCAAACCACGCCGTTATATGTTACAATAAGGGATTAGGGTCAGACGAGCCCTCGTTTATCGCGGCTCGCGGCGCGCTTGCGTGCTTGAGTTTCTCGTGCAGTAACTTTGCAAAGAAAAATAAGAGACTGCTCGCAGTCTATTGAATCTACGGTTTCCGTCACATATCACATGTGAATGGTTAGACAACGTGGAAGATTTATATAATCTATGTTGTCCATATCGTTTCTTTTGCTTTTATCAGCAATCGTATCCATAATCAGCAAATTATCCGAACTCAACGGGGGTAATTGAAGGCCAGCAATATTTTTTATTTGTACAGCTAAGCTCAGCCATTCCACCTGCCTAAGTTAAGACGGCAAGGATGTGTGGGTAACTTTAAATCATTTGTAATTCGGTCATAACTTGGCGGTTTTCAAAGACTAGACTTGTATAGAACGACATAAACGTTTACACTTTGGGATTTTATGACCCAAGAGTTGGTTTTTGGATGAGGTTGGTGAAATTTTGGTGAAGTTACCAAAAAAGCTATGCGGTCTCATCGGTTAGACTTGCCAAAAACGTCAACTGATATAACGTACTGCATTGAAAATTAGTATAGGTAATAGCATGGTTCTTAGTGATATTTGGGGTAAATACCACGAGTGATATTTCGAAATTGTTATATGTAATTTCACAAGCCGTTAGGTGAGTGAAATTTGAGACAATTTTGAAATATCACGACTGGTATTTTTGCCAAATATCACGTACAAATCATGTTATTATTTGTTTATACTACTACCCGCAAAAGGTTTGAAATTTTCACATGTAGGTATTTCAAATTAAGCTGAAATACCACTGCTCTAAGCCAATCAAATTGCAGAAATTTCTCATGTAGTAGTATAAAAGAAAGAATGACTAGAGTGGGACTCGCCTTCCTCTCCAACTCCATCGTTTTCTGTTTGAGGTTTCTTTGGGACCTCGTAGCGCACCATTCTTGCAACATATCCGAGAATATAAACCTTAAAGAAAAACATACGTGCGACCATGTGTACAAACTTCAAAGATCGGCGTAAATATCTGTAAATATTATAAAAGCTCATTAAATTTTCAATGGCCGATCCAGACCTTCAGATAAGTGGAGGGGGGGGGGGGGGAGTGGCGGTCATCCAGACCCTGAGATGGGGGGGAAGGGGCGGTCGGGCCTTCGAGCCTCATTTTGGTCTAAAAATAAGGGGGGGACTGGGCCCCTAGGGCCCCTTCCCTGGATCCGCCACTGAAATTAGGGGAAGTTATGACTATGTTGCTCATACCCTGACCCATTTTGGTACTTTCCCGACTGATGTGTTGTAGTGATGAAACCGTAGCACCCAGCAAGTCAGTCCCAGTGCGCATGCGATTTCTATGATGGTCAGCGAGTAGTATCTGTCGTGAGATAAATACAAAATAGTACTTCATCACTTCTCAAACTTTCTTAACTTTTTCAACGCTTGTGCCATTGAAAAGTTAACGATAAATTATTTTATGTATAAGATGTGTAAAGATCTTGACGATTGGTTGGTTCATTGTGCGTTACGGAAGCAAATGGTGTTGTCAAATAGTTGTAGAAAAAATGTCAGAAAGATTTCACGAACATTTTGGACAGAAAGTCGTCCCTTTAAAAAGTTTCAGTTACAGTCGTAAATATTAATAATGATAGTGTAATATATAATTAATTATTTGGACAATCTTTCACGGGCTGGCTGGGTAATGAAGTGGGAAATATCAACTGGGACGCAAGTCCTGTTTTATCCCGTATCCTGCCGTATTGATTCACTGTGGCGAATTTCGCTAATTCAAAAATAACAAAAATTAATAAGTTAAGAAGTCTCTTTTTTATCTCCACAGGCCCACCCATCATCCCATACCTGCCAATCAAAGGTACGACTTCTGACGTCTCAGGGATATGAGTCGAAGCTAACAAATAGAACACGGTGAGTGATAACAGAATTGTGACGCCCATTACCATCAGTTCACCACTATCAAGGGGTAGTGTGAATAAGATTAACGTCATAAATGACGTCACCATACCTGCCAATCAAAGGTACCACCTCTGATGTCTCGGGAATGTGAGTCGAAGCTAACAAATAGAACACGGCGAGTGATAACAGAATTGTGACGCCCATTACCATCCGTTCACCACTCTCAGGGGGTAGTGTAAATAGGATTAACGTCATAAATGACGTCACCATACAAGGCGTGATCAGGTAGACGAAGTAATAGAACACCTCACGGCGTATGTGAATCACATATGTCACGGCTGACTTGCTTTCCTCGCTCAAGTGAGTTGCTTTGCTTGTTGAATTCAGATCGTAGACTTTTTCCAGGTACCATTCGCCGCTTTCTGTGAAAGAGAAACCTTGATTAGACTCGTCACACACGGCTCAACATTCAATCGAACAGAGTGTCATGCAGTGTTGAATGTTGAGATAGACCGTTTAAAATATTTAGCGTTGTTGAGCGCAGTTTTCCACAGAAGCATAGCGTGAGATTTGGAAGATGTACGCACGGGAAGATTAACGCAAATAAGATTCTTACCGACTCATGATGATAATGATGATGATGATGATGATGATGATGTTGTTGGAGTTTTAAGAATTAAACAGTCAACCTTTATTCACAGTGTGTAATTTACCAGTATAGTTCTGTAGGATTTCAGTTTCTTCTGCCACAAGACGCAAAGAGCTATTGCTATAAGTCCAGGACGCAAACTTGAGCCTGCAGAACTGCTCGTCGAACGGAAAATAACGGACACTGAGTTTGCAGGAACTCTTGGGGATAATAGGCGCCAGCCAGCGGACTGTGCCATGGGAAGTAATCAACAGTGGGTTGTTCATTCCCACAGGTTCACCCATGTGGCTAGTATCAGCGCTAGAAAAAAACGAAAAGCAGTTATTCTAATTTCTCCACCTATACAGACGCAGATGCTTCGATCATTGTCATGTCTCTGGTATTGCGTAGTACTGTACAACGGTTTTTTTTCTCTCACTGAAGAAGGATCATAAACCCGAAACGTTTGTTTTTGACACTGTTTGATATTTCTTTACCGCATATCAGCTCATCAGCTACTGAAGTACAAGTTTCACGCATCCCTGACGGTTTTTTCGTTAAACATTCATTTTTGAATACTGACCCTCTCTTTGTGCGTAAATCTCAGTTATTTGAGTTAGAATGCAAGGAAATTGTTGAAAGCTCGAAAGGGTTAAGAAGATTATCAAATTTTCATCAACTTTTTCAAATGTGTCTGTGATACTGAATTAATTTAATTAACTAGTTAATTAATTAAAACAAAACTGAATGCAGGGCTGGCACTAAGGCAAAGGGCTGATTTATTATAGGCCAATATTTCAGCTAAGAAAATTAGCCTTCCTCAGGGCCAGAACTATACAGAGAGAAAATATCTTTTAACGTGTCCTAATTAATTAATTAATTAATTAAGTTATTTATTTATAATAAGCATACTTGTTCAGCAGCACAGTATCTGGTACCCAAACGTCACTAGGTGACAAGCTGACCTCATCGATCCAACCAAACTCAGATTTATTCCACTGCAAAGCTGGGTCATACCAGGCCTTTAGAAAACAAACAAAATGATGTACGACAAGGTCTAGATTAGTTCTCAACTTGTTAACCAGTGTTTTGTTCTATTTCACCCTTAATATCATAATGTTTGCCCAGTGACAACTTCCTTAACCAACTTTACTTTCCTTTATAAGTATTGTTCAATCCTTCTTTCTGGTGAAATATTTAAAGTTTAGTTTCTAGACCAATCTGTTGTGAAGATGAAGGTTTTGGCTTCTACTGTAGCCCTTTGCTCGAGAATGATTTAGCGAGTAAGTTTAATTTCTCAGAACTGTTATTTTCAAGAATTATAAGTTCCATCTGAATCTTAGTCATTTGTTTCTGGTTAGACAAGCCTTTCTCTTCTTAAAAATAATTTATGATTAACCCAAATCTTGACTCTACTAATGATGACAACAAGAATGTTGGGCTCCTATATATGCTTTCCTCAGATCACATTTCGTGCCTTTATATTGACAAGTGCATTTATTTGAACTAACGGGCTGTCATTTTTATGAAAAACTATAAGGAAGGCAAAATGAGATACAAATATGACAAAAAACGAAGATGAAGACGAATCTGTTGATGATTTACTAAATAATGATGATGATGATGATGACGATCTTAGCGTCTTAACAGCTGCTTCGCGCACGTACCTGCTTGAGCCATACACTTGTGATGATAACCTGTTTTTTTACATCCTGTAAAATTTATAAAAAGAAACTTTCGTTAATCCAGCTGTATCAAGACACTGCTTGGATTTTCATTGCCTAAAGGTAAAAGTTTAGTTTTCTCAGATCTCAACTGAGCACACATTGAGTACCTATGATCTATCTTACTCACCATTTCAAATATCTGCACCAGTCTGAGACTAAGATTAACTGTCGTTGGCTGGGAGCTATTAGAGATGATAGGCCTGAGACCTGTGTGATAATTCTCTAGTAGCTTCTCGACAAGTGCTCTTTCCTGAAAGCTTAACTAAAGATTGGAAAAAAATAATTATTAAGTTATTTTTCTAAATGTGCTGCTTCCGTTTTACTGCAGTCAGCTGACGGCTTTATCGATAGGCTTTATGAAGAATTGTGTTGCTGGATAACAGGCAAGACAAGACAAGACAATGCTTTATTTGGAGTCTTATACAGTCCTATATACATCGACTTTATCCAAATAATTTAAAATCATAANATTTCAAATATCTGCACCAGTCTGAGACTAAGATTAACTGTCGTTGGCTGGGAGCTATTAGAGATGATAGGCCTGAGACCTGTGTGATAATTCTCTAGTAGCTTCTCGACAAGTGCTCTTTCCTGAAAGCTTAACTAAAGATTGGAAAAAAATAATTATTAAGTTATTTTTCTAAATGTGCTGCTTCCGTTTTACTGCAGTCAGCTGACGGCTTTATCGATAGGCTTTATGAAGAATTGTGTTGCTGGATAACAGGCAAGACAAGACAAGACAATGCTTTATTTGGAGTCTTATACAGTCCTATATACATCGACTTTATCCAAATAATTTAAAATCATAACACAAATTGACAGGCAAAATTGACAGTACTGATGCCCAGAAAACAAACATCAGCTTAGCAGTTTGGTAGTTTAACTACAGCAATAAGTGTTCATCGAATGTTATGAAAATGATCGTTTTCTTGTCAGTGCATAAAAAATCAGCAGAATTTCAAGACGAAGGATGTCTTTTACAGCTTGCTGTTGCCGTGTTCTCTAAAATATGTAAAAATTAGTATTCAAATATTAAATTTTAAAGTCGGGAACAATCTCCTACAAAGTCTCTCGGAAACACATGTAGATGGAAATATTACTCACGACTTTAGAGTGAACGGCAATGGGGAAACAGCTATTCTCTTGCCGTAAAACTACACTTGCATTAGGATACAAACTGGAATTAAATAATAAATAAATACAAACTGGAATTATTTCACAGAAGCTGCGTTCAAAAGCAGCGAATTAACTGTTACAACGTATACGTAAAAACCTACAATATTTAACACCAGGGCAAAAACGTTTCAAAAAAAGTTTGGTTCAAAGTATTGCTAGCTTTGCCTGGAAGGCTAATTATTCCCTTCCAGTTCGCGATTCCCCTTCCTGCTTTCCCGACAGCACCAAAAATCGCTTATTTTAAAAAAATATTGCAATTCCTATTTCTAAAAAAATATGTCTATTTGTTTATGGTACCTTGTCCAAAATACCCCGCCATCAAAAGCAAAAGTCGAGCAGAAAGCAGTTCGTCAAATGTGGCAAAATCCATGTTAATTGGCCATACGGGAGTTTCGTCTGATTGCAGAAACTTAAATTTATTGGTGTGTTTGCTTATATTCTGTATGCATAGTTGAATTTTGACGTCGCCGTTTATTTGTCTGGTTCGACTGGTGTTTGCAGGTGGCTGCAATCAAACTCAGTGGTCGCAGCTATTAGCCATGCATATTGGAAGTAGACCAGGGAGCTTTAGCTTCGACAACGGCGACGGCAGCGAAAATGTCACCTTTGAACTGAATTCTGCGTTGTTTTGAACTTTGTTGCGTTTATTCTAATTCGGTGTGAGTGAGTGAAAACTTTATTTACCCACGCTAATTTTATCAAATAACTTTACATAAAGCATCTGTTCTACCTAAAAGCCGTGCAAATGTGTCAAATGAAGAGGAATTTCCCCGGAGTTGATTTCTTAATGACTGCACCAAAGTTTAGAAAGAGAAATTGAAGGAAAAATTCGTCGTCACTTGTTTACGTCCTCCATAAAATGTGAAATTAGGCATTTTCACGTCGAAGTCGTGCAGTGACGGCGAAGAAATGTACAAAAAAGAGTGATGCACGTGCAAAGTTGTTGTTTTGCTAATTAAATCTACTGCTTTTTTGTCGTTCTAGTTGCCGTCGCCATCGTCGTTGCTAAAGGTGATGTTACACGAGACGATTTGCAACGACGATTTTTAGCGCAAAACAGCGTTACAACATTGTTGCGACATTGTTTCGAATAGTTACAACACTGTTCCAGCATTGCAACGCTGTGTTGGCGCAACACTGATTGGATTTCTTTTATTGCAATGTTTTTTCATTAACGCGAGCTTCGCCTTTAGCCTCGATTAAATCTATGTATTATCACTTCGGCATATCCCATCTGCCTCCTTTTACATCTTCTGTCAACGGTTTAAGACTGAACGTTCGTAATACGCATATTACTTAATGATATTTTGCCACCTTTAAAACTAATTTCGTATATGTAGTTTTGACAATGATTGTTGTTGCAACTTCCAAGATATACGAGACTCGACTCAATGTCTTTTGGAGAATAGCTATTATGGAATTACTGCGACCTTGCGTGTAGTTTGATTCTACATGTAAGTATTTTTTAAGGAAGGAATGATCTACAAATCGTGCCTCCTAGTTTAAGTATTTGTTTAGTATTTTAAGGGTACGTTGGTTTCCACGGTGATTTGCATTGACTTGAAATTGTTGAAAAACACAGCTACAATGCCCTATGTGTAAGTATCTGATAAATACTTAATATACACGTAAATGGGTCACGCATTAAAACTTAAAAAGCAATGAGTGGTATAGATATTTGCATTTCACTGTATTATTCCGGCGGAAAAAAAAAAACAAAAAACAAGAGAAAACGACATCACCTGCCAAAGCCCAAACAATAAATATTCATCATAATCTTTCTTAAGGAAGTTCTCATGGTCCTCTACGGTAATTCTTCCTTCTCCCTTAATTTGTTTTTGACGAATGAAAACTAGAGAGACGAACGAAAAAGGCCGGGTAATTTGACGATCAGTAACTGACTCGCATCGACACTGAGCTCTCTGTTAGTCAAATAAAATGTCAATTAGTTTACCCACAGTTTGCAAAAATCCTACCTTACTTACTTAAAAAATTCCATTTTTACCAAGACGTAGGCTTAAACAAGGGCGTTTCTAATTTCGAAATGTTTTATTAATGAATACTGAAAAGCACAAAACAGGTAATATTGAAAAAGGAGATATTGAGCCCGAAACCAATTCCACGGTAACTAGTCAGGTGAACTTTCATGGCGTCTATAAATTCGTTTCTTTTACTTGCATGGATTATTTGGCTTATTTTGTGTACTTCTCTATGTACTGGTAAGTTTTGTTCTTATCTGCAGGCAATCTTTTTGCCTTTATATATTTTTGAGCTTTTATTGTTTTTTCGTAATTCAATAATCCGACAAACTTGTATGATATACAAAACGCTTAACCTAAATAATAGCCTGTAAACCATAAAACATACAATAATTGTAAATTTCCCTTTAGTTAAATGGGTGCGTTTTTAAGAGTAAAATGTTCAGGCTTTTCCTCGCAGAAAATAAGTACTAGTTGTTGCAAACAGGAAGACAGTTTTTCATTCATTCAAATTTACTAATTATAATATAGTATTACCACTGAAAGCAATTTCCAAAAAAGAAGTTAAGATTCTATCGATATGTGTTTAAGTTCTTTCAAATGAGAAGAAAACAATATGAAGGCCTTTAAAAATCTTCATTCTTTAGAGAAAAAACTGCAGAGCTATAATGTTTTATTGAAGACAAAATAACTAATTAAATTTATAGCATGCAGCTGTAGAGATATATGATGATACAGCATTTGGATGGCTGAGGGGTAAAATTCGTTGTAATACAATTTGGCAGTTTTCTAGAGCGAATTTGTGGCGATGGGCTCATGGTCTATGTTTTACTTTTTATGTCAGTTTTGTCGATAGAATACAACCGTATCATAGTATTCAAGGAACCCATACAAGACAGAGTTCTTCCAGATCACGTGATTAGAACTGAAAAGGTACTCAATGAAGGAGGCTGCAGGGTGAAGTGTTTTTTGGAACCAAAATGCGTGTCTATTAACGTGGGTCCTGGAGGTGCTCATACAAGAACATGCGAACTTAACAATGCCACTGACGAGAGCCCTTCACTGTCTTCGCTGAAAAAGAAGGAACATTACATTCACTTTGCTATTGAGGTATGTTAAAACTGGCTTTTGACTCGTACGTACTGAATGATGACGATAACGATTCAGGACATACATCTAATAACGATGATGATCATGACGTTTTCGTTGCATATGATGATGATGACGATGATGATGGTGATGTTGATGATGATAATGATGATGACCATATTACTAATGCTGCTGCAGATAATGATGAATGATGGTGACAATATTGATGACAATGATGGTGATGGAGGCGATGAAGATGATGATTATGGTTTTGATGATGATGATTTTTGTTGTTGATGATGATGATGGTGATGATGTTGATTTTGGCGCTGTTGTTGTTATGGATGCTAATGATGTTGATAATGCTGATGATAACAGATGTATCATAATTCTGTTCTTGGAATTGTTATTAATGATGGTGACGATAGTTATGATTCTGATGATGATGTTGACGATGAGATGTTGAAAACAGCGATTCCAAGAAGCGATATAAGTGAGACGTGCTGATAACAATGGTAATATAATAGAGATTGTTATAAAGGTGCTGTAGGAATATCTACCAAAAGTGTCACTGCAGTAGTTTAACAATTCAGTTTTGTCGCTCCAAAATGCTTAAGAATAAATGTGATCCAACTTCTATTTGTTTTTTATTTAGAAACATGTTCAAAGGTAAGGACATCGTAGTTTCATTTCGAAAATACAGCAATTTGAACTTCCTAGTTTTCACAGTGCGTGACACCAAAACAGGAATGCTGTCTCGTTGAAAAAAGTCTCTCCTCTTGATTTTCAGCAGTATAACCGTTTCAAGTATTAGAGGATATGTTTATGCGCACGTAGGCTGGTTCTCGAGTGAAAAGAAAGAGCTTTTATAGAAAAAGTGAACTCCAGATGTTAGAGGATATGTTTATGCGCACGTAGGCTGGTTCTCGAGTGAAAAGAAAGAGCTTTTATAGAAAAAGTGAACTCCAGATGTTTTGTTGATTTCCGGCGGCCATATTGGTGGACCAAAACGGTACACTAATATGGCGTACCCATACAAAGCTCTACAAAGGTGCGTGAAACGTTTCGACAAATAACTCGGAAACTGTGGGCCATAAAGACCTGAGACTTGGACAAATTGTTTATATATCAGTCTTTGGTAACATTTCATTTTCTTGGTTTCTTCCACTGGACGGTTTCCAATTTATTTTTTTGTTGCGTGACAGTGAAAACGATCTATAGACTGTGGAAACCACATTGCGGATTAACTTTTGTGATGTAGTATATGCCGGAGAACTGGAAAAACAAATAATGCACATCAAATTTAAGGCTGCAAATTAATAAAACATCTAATGGATTATCTTTTTAACTCAGAACTTTTGCCAAATTAACGATGATCCGTGCCCAGGAGAAAACGAGTTATGTGAAGTTGGGTTCACAGAAAAACGCTACAGATGTGTCTGTCGCGATGGGTTCATGTTTATAAACGACAACTGTACAGGTAATATGCAGCAGCTAGATGCATAAAACAACTCATATTCTTCGCCATTAACGAAGGCTTGAGAGCCAAGTTTATAGTTCATTGCACGCTTGTAAGTATAGAGTAATTTCACATGACGTCACGACGGCCATATTGATGTTCGAAAACAATGAAACGGCGGCCATGTTGGTATTCCAAAAAATTCTTCAGGGAGTTGAATTCTTTTCTTGTAGAAACGCTTCCTTTTGCTCGCTTAAATTTGCATAATTGCTGGCCACGTGCATGAAAACCTTCAATAGGAAGAAACCTGTTACTTTGCTTTCATCCTCTCTCTACAAACGTAAGTAAAAGGCACCGCCGACTTTATAAGAGGGAGCTTTAAATATAGCATTTTTTTAGATACGGACGGCAGCATGAAGTGGTATTTTTGTATTCCTGGACGGTAATTTTGTCCAGAGGTTTGGGAAAAATCGTATCTATAAAAGTAAACACACTCAGCAAAACAAATTTGGTAGGCTGACTTCCGGTTGACATGCTTCGATTAAAAAACGCCTTTGCTAAGGACATCAGTGTGCAAGGATTAACTTACTTTCATACGGGGAGTTTACCCTTTTCTACCGTAGCCTGCGCGCGAAATGGGTCTCTGGTCTCTGGTTCGTTTATTTTGTGTCACTGAGATATTACCTTGAATCTTAGTCTGTTAATCAGACTCACAGATTGGCCATTTTGAGACTGATTTCGCGAGAGACTGGGTCGGGGATGTGTCGAACTGCATTGTGGGAGCGTCTTGGGAGACGAATTTTTACCCACACTCCTGTGCGAGCTTGCAAAAGTCAAGGGGAAACATCACTGTTTACAAACAATGAGTGAAACAAAAGAACCTTCCGCTTTTGTTACGAGAACTAATGCGCTTCTGGTGGGTACATTTAAAATATCAATAGTTGACGTTAGCGTGAATATGGCTACAGAACGATTAAAGAAGCGATAGTGTCAATTGAACGCAACATCGAAACAAACTCTTGGGAAAAGTCCCAAGAGAGCCACTGATACAAATTACGAGGGATTGACTCTTATTTTTTGTAGAACTAAAAAACATTGTTTTTCTACTTCATTTTTTATATCGTCATTCTTGTTCAATGTTGACAGATATTGATGAATGCAAAAAGGAATTGCACGACTGCAAGCTAGGTATGCCAGGGGGCATGACATGCGTAAATGAGCCTGGTTCGTTTCGTTGTGAATGTCTCCCCGGTTTTGTTAAAGAAGGTACTATCTGTAAAGGTCAGTATTTTAAGGGGAATATTCTAACAGCTCCGATGCCTTCTTAAGAATAGTGACCGAGCGCGTAGGGAGAGGTTATTATTGATTTTTTTAAGAAGGGCATTATCCGGTTTAGTGAACCTTTCTATTGCTTTAGAACCAGCAGGTCATTATTGTGGCCACTAAAATGGAACAGTGGGTTATTATTCCTAATAATGACTGTCTGTTCCACCTGTCTTCCGTGACCAGCTCCTTCGATCCAGTTGTTGAAAATAATAATATTTTCAAAACAATGGAAAGGTGCATTAAACATATTCAATAACCTTTTTATCATTCATTATCACTACTGGCAGACTCACAACGTTATTACTTTCGAGAATAAATTTTTGGCATCATTTTTAGTTCCTACGCAGTTTAGAGAACGAACGGATGTTTTGTTTTAAAAGTTACCCTCGCAGAGCGTAACCATTAACATGTTTTTGCGTGTTGTTTAGATCTTGACGAATGTGGGTCCTCCAGCTTGAACAACTGTTCACCTAACGGGAAATGTGTGAATGAACATGGTTCATTCCGTTGTGAGTGCATTGTTATTGGACAGTGTAAAGGTCAGTGAATATTACTAGAGGTCGCTAATCAGATTACTTGTAACAAGGCTTTGTGTAACTTGCATCTTTCTGTTTACTGTACGTTATTAGGGAGCTTAAGAAACCACGATGACGGCGAAAACGACAACGTCAAAAAAAAAAAAAATTTTATGAGCAAAACAACAGCTTTGCACGTGCATCACACTTTTCAGTACATTTCTTTGACGTTTACTGCACGCGCACGACTACGACGTGAAACCCGCTAATGTGACTTTTTATGGAGGACGTAAACATACGACGACGAATTTTCCTTTCTCGTTTTGAAACTGGATAAAGTCCTCAGGAATTCAACTCCAGGAAAAATTGCCTGCATTTGACAAATTGCGCGGGTGCAAATAGACGCGATAAAGTTTAAAAGGACGTAAATTGATTATTTTAGCGACGTTTTCCCTGCCGTCGTCGTCTTCGCCGGTTGCGTAAGTTTTCTATTCGGAGATCACAAACATTATGAGGTGTCAGCCTTCTTCTCGCCACCTAAATCAGCTTAATACCTCAGAAGAATTTGCCACAGAAAAGAAGTCTTACGAACTCGACAAAACGGTTTACCCTGTTTCTTTGATATTGATCAGTTTAATTATATCCCAGAATGCCATGATGCTCTCGGGGTAGAAAGCGGTGCAATCTCTGATAGGCAAATGAGTGCTTCTTCGCAGTTGGATGAAAATCACGCTGCCTCTCAGGGAAGGCTCCACGTTGAAGCTGTTTTAAGCAAAAGCGGGTCATGGTCAGCAAAAGATAATAATGTATCTCAGTGGCTTCAAGTTGATTTGGGTAATCCGCACACCAAGGTCATTGCCCTAGCAACACAAGGCAGAAATAACTACCCTCAGTGGGTAACGAAATACAAAGTGCAGTATAGCGGAGATGGCGTCAGTTTTCAATATCTCATGGAGGAACAATCCAGCACAATAAGGGTAAGATGGTGCCCACCGTAGACGTACACATATGAAATATTTAAGTTAAATGTCACCTACCTACCTACCTGCCTACCTACCTAATATATAGATTTAGCCAGGGCTAAAAGCGAAGCTCTCGATAATATTTATAGTTTGATCAAACAAAATATAAAATCGTGTAATGCTAAGCGGCGAAGGTGAAATGGTGAAAAGGAGCAATAGGTCTAATCAGCAAAAAAAAGCAACTTTGCACGTGCAGCACATTTTTTTTTGTACATTTCTTTGCTGTTGTTTTGCACGACTACAACGCAATACTTCCAGAAACTTTTTTATGGAGGAAATGTCGTTTGCGTTCTCGGTCACTTTTTTTTCACTGCTGCTCATTTTCTCCTTACGTTGGTGGCCGCTAGCATTTCTTATTTTTTCACCACCGCTACAAAATTTTCATGTTGTTCTTCCAACAAAAAATGTCTCCTTTGTTTTTTATCTCACGTTCTAGATCTCTGTCACCCTTTTTCTCGTTGAGTTTCGCTGGCCTGCCGCTTACTCTCTCTTTTTCTCTGTCTTTCTGTTGCTCTATATTCCAAATTTGTGGACATGACAATTAATCTAAGCTTAATGCTTTAGACAACACGGATACAGATACAATTTCCGCTTTCGGGTGGCTATGCGATTTCCCGCCAAAATAACCTCGAGTCTCATTTTGGTTGCCATACCTGTTAGTTGAGTTATTTTACATTGGTATGCCTGTGGTGCGGACAGACGGTCTCTCGGGCGGTCGGTGTACGGTCACGTGATTACCAATAATTTTCTCGGCTGGTTACATTACCACATTTGCTTACCAATGGTGCTCCGCTGGGCGCGCTTCGCACGCGAGAGCTCCGCTACCAGGAAAGCCAATTGGGCTGACCGCAGTGACATATTTTCCCAGTGGAAAGTGTTATCCACCGTTTGAACAACTAGTATAGGGAGAGGGAGAGGGAAATGAGATAGACAAGGTGGAGCAAAGTGTCTTTTCTAAGAAAACGACGCAACGGCAAGGCTTGAATTCCCGAGGGGATGGGTACTTCCTATAATGGCCCATACGGGGAGGCCCCGCCCAAAAGCGGCACCCTTCTTAGGTTCCAGATCTATAAAAGGGTAGATAGGGATTTCACTAGTTGAAGTATATGAAAGGGAAGGGAAGTCTGTTTTTGTGGTCTGTAAAAGGACCCAGAAGGGCTAATGGATGCACTTTATGGTTTTGGAAAAGTCGAGGAAACTTTCTGGTTTTGTGATTTATACATATTTAAAAGCCAGTGCATTATTTAACAGTTAAAAGAGATGCAAAGTGCTAAACAAGGTATGTGAAAGGGGTACCATTTTTCAATAAGAAGGTATTCGAAAAGGGTATCCTTTCTGTCAAAAATGGTATGTTGAAGGGTAAAGGTATTAGCCTCACCGTCGTAATGTTTGTTTGTTAATCGTCCAGCACCACGTCTCCACGCTCTTTTTGTATTCAGTAATTTTTATTAATATTCATTAAAAGATGTTTTTCAGCAATTTCGTCTTCTTTTTTTTAAATTTTGTTAGGAGTTTGTTGGAAACACAGACCAGGACACTGTGGTCTACCACAAACTCAGTCGTGCCATCAGGGTACGGTACATCCGTTTTCTACCAGTAGCCTGGCACGATCACATATCCATGAGGGTGGAGATCTATGGGTGCAAAGGTAAAATTTGCAATTCACTCCGGTTATGAAAACACTGACCAACTGTTGCTTGAGAAAACGGGGAGTGTTGCAATAATAACGCCCTTCCTAATTCATGCCCAAAACAAAAAACGCCAATTAAAACAAATGCAGTCAATGCTTGCCTTGTTTTAGGCCTTAAAAATATATTAACATTCAATTGTTTCCTCCTGAATAGGGTCATAAGTAACTCTCGTGGAACACACCTATCCTAGAAAGAAAGAAGTAACCCTTAGGTGGTAGTGGGAACCACAAAATGGATTAGACAGTATAGAGCTTTACAATGTAGTACGTTGCTACTACTGTAATACTTTATTTTAGCTTTTCTAGCCCCTGATGAAGACTTTTGAGTAGTCGAAATATTGGGCAAATAAATTTGTAGATTACCAACCCTTAGCTGTCCGATCAGCCTTGCCTTCAATTTTAAGTGCACCTACTCTATCAGCCAACAAATTGTTAACGTTATAGCCCAGTAAAATCATAAATCGCCCCATGTAAGGAAATCTGGATTACGGATTCCGGGGAATTTTTTGCTAGTGGTATCCTGGGCTTAGGAATCCGGAATTACGACTCAACGAATCCGGAATCCCACTGACGATTGGAATCCCGAATCCAAATTCCACTGAGAAGAATCCGGAATCCAGTACCCGGAATCCAAATCCAATCCAAAATTTACTGTATACGCTTTTAATTGATTGATTTAGAATGTGCAGATGATCTGGGAATGGAAAACAATCATATTAGCGATAATCAAATCAGTGCCTCTTCGGAGCTGAGTCCCAATCACAAAGCAAACCAAGGTAGACTTTACTATACTGCAGACGGAGGCAAAGGGGGAACCTGGTCAGCTAAAACAACCGATAAAAATCAATGGCTTCAAATTGATCTTGGTGGTCTGTACGCTACCGTAACAGCAGTGGCAACGCAAGGCAGACATGACAAGGATGAATGGGTTACGGAATACATGTTGCAGTACAGTAATGAGACTTTGAGTTTCCAGCATTACAGAGAGCCAGGACAAACTTCGTATGAGGTATGAGAAAATAAATAAATATATAAACCTTTTCTTTTTTTGCCAGGAAAGCCTGTTTATCATGTTTACATGTTGTTGCGGTTTTAATCGTCTTAACTCATTTCCAGTTTTCAACAAAAATGACAGTACACGGATTTTACATCTAACAAAGAGGCCTGGGTGGAGATACTCAGAAGGCTCCGGAGAATCATATGTTCTGCCACTTAACTATGTGCTCAAACCCCTAACCCTCCCCGGACCCTCCCCTTTACATACCGAGCGTTTTTAATTCGCTTTTCTCGTTGGAAACTTCTTGAAATTATTCAAGAGTACATCATCCGTTGAGGGTCTCACAGGATACTTCGTAAGACCCTTGAAAATACCGGTACCCACATTAGAATTTTTCTTACCATTTTCCTATCATTCAACTCGTGAGATCCCTATAGTTTTGAAATACCTTTAGCCGGCCAGCAAAGCATCCCTGTATAGTCCGTTTCCGATTGGAAACCTCCCCCCAAACCCACACGCACTACGAGTTGCCATGCAAGTCAGGGTTAGGTCCTGAGTCAAGACGAGTGTGCGTTGTAGAGTGAAAAATACGTACTCCTAATAATCTGTTTATTTCCTCTGGTTAGATCTTTGAAGGGAATGGTGATCGTGATACCGTAGTTCTTCATAGCTTGAGTACGCCATTCAAGGCGCGTTACATCCGTTTTCTTCCAACTGGTTGGCAAGGCAACATTTCAATGAGAGTAGAGCTTTATGGATGCAAAGGTAATTTAGAAGGTACATGTTTTCAATTCTGAAAGCAACGGTCCAGTTCATTTCTTTTTAGGACTGTTGTTGACAGTGACTGACGTTTCAACAACCTGTGCGGTAGTCATCTTCAGAGTCAAAGCGAGTTGTATCACGTCAGAACTCCTAACCGTTGTTACAGTGGAACCATGGAAATTTGGTCGTATTAACGGGGTGGCCGTATTAACGGGGTAGGGTCAAATTATGGTGCAAAATACTTTTAAACTACATTTTACTACATGTATACCTTAAATCCGCTATAAATCAACCTTTTTGCAGTTAATTAACAACCTTACAACCGCAATTCAATGCAACTGAACAATGTAACAGTAAACGAAACCGAGTAATGAGAAAAACATTGACTTCTTTTAGTTCCTTGTTATGAAAGGAAGGGGCTTGTGAAATGTGGCGGAGGATACGGGATGGAAATCCCATGCGTTTACAAGTTTACTGGACAGCCAAGAAACGTTGATATGCTTAACAAATTATTAGACATTCCAAATAACCGATCTGTGGGAAAAGAACAGGAAATGGACTCGAAGAGAAAAGCCACAGTGGAAGGCAGCAGAAACAAGAAGGCAAGATAACTATGAGAGCCTTGNGATCGTGATACCGTAGTTCTTCATAGCTTGAGTACGCCATTCAAGGCGCGTTACATCCGTTTTCTTCCAACTGGTTGGCAAGGCAACATTTCAATGAGAGTAGAGCTTTATGGATGCAAAGGTAATTTAGAAGGTACATGTTTTCAATTCTGAAAGCAACGGTCCAGTTCATTTCTTTTTAGGACTGTTGTTGACAGTGACTGACGTTTCAACAACCTGTGCGGTAGTCATCTTCAGAGTCAAAGCGAGTTGTATCACGTCAGAACTCCTAACCGTTGTTACAGTGGAACCATGGAAATTTGGTCGTATTAACGGGGTGGCCGTATTAACGGGGTAGGGTCAAATTATGGTGCAAAATACTTTTAAACTACATTTTACTACATGTATACCTTAAATCCGCTATAAATCAACCTTTTTGCAGTTAATTAACAACCTTACAACCGCAATTCAATGCAACTGAACAATGTAACAGTAAACGAAACCGAGTAATGAGAAAAACATTGACTTCTTTTAGTTCCTTGTTATGAAAGGAAGGGGCTTGTGAAATGTGGCGGAGGATACGGGATGGAAATCCCATGCGTTTACAAGTTTACTGGACAGCCAAGAAACGTTGATATGCTTAACAAATTATTAGACATTCCAAATAACCGATCTGTGGGAAAAGAACAGGAAATGGACTCGAAGAGAAAAGCCACAGTGGAAGGCAGCAGAAACAAGAAGGCAAGATAACTATGAGAGCCTTGAAATGCTGCAAAGTGAAGTCTTTCAGATCTTTTGTATTTATTTATTCGTGCATCCTTTTTACTGAACACTGCAATTCACCGGATGTCATGCTAATCACTAACACCTTTGCCCAAAAACATTCAATAAAATATTAGTAATGCGTTACTGTTTGTCAGATTGCGTCTGTTTTCATTCAGCTAGCCTGAGTATCATCTTTCGCCTTTTCCCCAGAAACGCCTGATACTCAGGCTATCATTCAGCAGCCCCACCAACGTAAAACTGACCAGCATAATTGCCCCATTAAAATATTTCTTTTATTGCTGAGTCCTGAGGGTTTCCACCAGCAACCAGCATTATTGCCCCACCAGCCTAATTGCCCCAAATCAGATAAGAAAATGAGTGGACTTTTGTTCGGGCCACAAAAAAGTGGTCGTAATAACGGGGTGGTCGTATGGCGGGGTTCCGTCACTCTGACATTCTTGCTAAAACTAACTCGTAGTAGAATGATGACAGCCTTTTCCTGGCCAAGATGACGCTTATTTAAGCGTGCGCACTGCTAACCTTTTGACTTTCTCCGCTATTGGTATACGTAAAGTCTTACACTTCATCGTTATTATTATTATTTTAAATTATAGAGTTCTTAATTATAATTTCATACTGAAGATTTTTACCGGGTAAGTATAAGTATAAATGAAATGTATGTATCGCACCTTGTCGGCAACTTGACTGATTTACCATGTGATTTAAAAAAATAAAATAAAATAAAGAAATTCATACCACAAAATTGTACCTTTTTCAATTTTTGTTTTACATTTCCTTTCAGACTGGAAAAAGATTAACTATGAATCAGTCTGCTACGAAGCTAAAAAAGACTCACATGGAAGTTTTCGCGTCACCAAACCGGGACTCATCCACACGTTTAAACTTGTTCACTGAAGAGGATCATTAAAGTGTGCACAATACTTACCCGCAACCTTTTGGGGCTGCACACACTCCGATTTTCATGATCAAACACTATCTACTGTAATAACATACGAGAACAAAAGTGTTCTCCCGCTAGCAGAATACAAACAAGATGGTCATTGTAGAAAATACACGTATAAGATCAAGGGTATAGATGTTAACTCGACGGAACTCTTGTTTCACCACCTTCCGTCTCCAATATCAGTGTCTAACAGACAGGTATTCAAGATTCGGTATAATGAAGCCTTGCTGAGTAATAATTGTGCCCAAGATAACACTGGTGAGATATGCGTTGACGTCTATGCGTTGTACGCTTGAACTGCTACCTAGAACGTGCAGGTGCATGTTAAGACTCTGGAAAAAACTTCATTTTTAGCACAGCAATAGTCCGAGACCACTTGAGTGTGCAGCTTTATAATACAAAGTAGAGGAACTTTTAGGTCTGTAACTGAAGGTAACATAACAGTCACCAAATCTTGAACACTAACTTGAGGGGACAGAGAAACACAAAAGTGTCCCAGCAATTTTGTCTGAGACTGTAGCTAAAACTGGTGACAGGGTAGCTCATCGTTAAAAGTCTTTTAAAAGATACTTTCTTAAATTGCACTTAAAATTATTTAAACATTGGCTAAGCTTATTTCAAATGGTAAATTATTCCATATCAACAATTCTATAAGAAAAGGATTTCTGCCCTGTTTTAGTTTTAAATAATGGAATATTCAATTGCTGCGAGCTTCTTGTTGCTCTCCCACTTATTTTACCTCTAAAATTCAATTTATTACCTAAATGCTCTGGGGTCATGCCCGTCATACACTTTTAAAATGACATACCGGCATCTCTGAAGGGTAAATTGTTTTTACTGGGGGCCACCTTTAACACTGGCGTTATATAACATGTGAGGTACGATTCGTTTTCCCGTCGAGACAATTTTTCTCATTTCAATAACATTAGATATTTAGTTCCTTAAAGGTTTACTTAAAAAAAGGAACAATTAGTAAAAAGGAAAAAAAGCTGACTCCGCTTTCGCACTTTTTGGTTCTAAACGGAATAAATTTGTTGCTTGACTACATGTGTTTGATGTCATTTATTTGTTCTTAGTAATTAAGCGTATGTTGCATAGTTACTTAAATTTGAGGGGAAAACATGCAAACATCATTTCTGCATTTTGTATTCAAAAAAAACTACGAAAAATACAAGTACTGCTTTGCTTAGGCAAACACGCGGACGGAAGAGAAAAAACTCGCGTGTGGGTGGCGATTTTCACGCGCGCTCGTGTACTTTGTAGCCTGGGGTCAAGTTCACGATGATCATTGACACGTGGAAACTGAAGCTTTTTTTAGCCAGCACTCTGGGGGCACAACTACAAGCCATAATTTTTTCTATTTCCCGCAGCGATGGATTTCTGGCCGATCGGGATCTTTGAAAGGTATTATGCCAATTTATTTGCATGGAAAATTCGACTATATATTACACTGTAACATCACTAGGACAATCTTTTAAATGTTTGTTTAGTCTTGTGGAACCTGTTTGTTTACAGTTTGTTTTAATGTGAAACCTAAGCCAGCTGAATTATAGTCACAGTGTTCCGCAATCCGAAAACTTACTGTCAGGTATATCGTTGAGACGGACGAGGCATATTCTTTTCACTGCGATTATTACGGGCAAAATTTCTGACCAAATATCATAAGTTCACTTAGTTTACCCTCGAGCAAACTGCTTCTTTGACTCCCTCGTCCAGCGAATACTTAGTCGCCTGCAGAATCAATTGTCTTTTTACTGAAATCGAAGAGAAACATAGATCGTCGTTTCATTGTTGCTTTGTCTGTATGTGTGTGGCCGACAGTGGTCACGAGTAATTTCGATATCGGTCTCTAAAATAGCTTAAGATGTGGTTGGGTACGTGAACGAGAACAGCACGTAATATTTTATTGATCACTTCTGTTGTAACGCAACGCTATCAACTTATAAGTCACGTTTTGTTTTGAGCTTGGGCTACCTGTGACTTAAAGCTATAAACATAGTACGTTCATTGTGTAGTTGGCGGTGGTGCGTTTGGATTTGTAAAAGCTTATGGGAAGTAGAAAAATATTAGCGCAAAGCTGGTAAGTCCACCATTATTGATATTGTCAATTAAAATTAAGCCCTTAAATTTCAGACATCGTTACTGGCTTCTCTCTCTCAGCTCGAGCTGTGCACATTCCAAATTCGAACTTAGCCAAGTTTGCGCATTGTGCGTTCTGCAGCTTACGGTGTTGCACAGTTTGAACCATCTAACTATCTTTTGCTATCATTTGCATGGTCATTAGAGGCATTTTAAGCGTTCTAGGATAATTGGTAAGCTCTCAATTGAGTTCTTTTCCAAAGCGTACATCATACGCGCGCGTTAAAATTTTCACCGTTATTTTTTCGGCGAACTGAAATTTGCGCTTTCTGCATGAATAAGCTTGTAGTTTCATTAGAAAATGAATAGTTCTCTTTAGGTTTGGTATAAAGCATGCAACCTTCGAAGCTCAGAAATAAATTTCAATGTAGTATTTTCAGTTAAAAGCATCTCAAATGAGTACCGTAGTCAAAGATTCTTCAGCTCCAATACAAAATCCATCCGGGGGGGAGGGGGTGGGGTGGGCACCCAAGGGAAGTTAGGTACTGAGGTGTTCGTCGGAGGCCTTCAAACCCTGACCCTGTTGTAGACAAGAGACCTTATATCATGTCCCTCTCTCATTTTGTTTTGCATACTTTAAGTGATTTTCAACTTAACATCATGGATTTTCCATTTATAGATGTACAATGTTCAAAAACAAAACTGTTGGTACCACAAATATGTAGTCTGCTCATGGCCAACTTTCACACTTTTTTATTCCAAAAGGACACCCTGTTCAAGATGCTAAATAGTAAAATTGTATTCCCCCTTTCTAAGACTCAAGATTTGGAAAACCATACCTTGTTCAGGCGACCCGTGACACCCAGTGCTGGTTCTGAAAGAGTCGTTAGTGAGTTAAAGCAACAGAACGACAGGAAGAAGCTGAGAATGGCAAAACTCTGTGTGACAAATGTGACAGGGCTATTAATTGGATGTTTTGTCATGATCTTCACTTAAGATTAATGTTTCCTGGTTGTTTACAAAAAGATCTGTTTAAATGAAAGTGAACTTTGGCAAAAGTTATTTTAACAAAATTATTGTCACACTTGTCACACAAGGCTCACATTCTTCTTTCCTCTCCCATCCTGTTGCGTAAGCTCGTTATTCAGTACATGTGTGCACAAATGAAAAAGTGTCGAAGCAAGAGAAAGGTTAATAAAAACAAAACAAAATGAAAATAAAACAGATGGGTCACTGGACATGACAGGAGGGCTCCTAGTTATGGTTGCAATAACTGAAGCACATTCAATGTTTTTTTCACAATTTTTGGTTTCCAGAGAGAAGCCAAGTGATAAAGGGATTAAATGCTGGTACTAAACGTTGCAAAAGACAGCTAATTAGGTTGTAAACTAAAGCAAAAATGGCAAAAGAACAGCGCTATGTTGCAGAGCCTTTGACATACCCGGTATTCAACCTCTTTGATAATGTTGAATGTTGAAGGTTTCATTTTAATTAACCTTGTTTAAAACTCAAGGGGCAAAACTATGACAAGGCATAGCACATTGAGGGAAAAATATCTTGTTATGCCAGGTTTTTAAAACTTTATTGGGAAAACAGTTAAAGGTATTTCCTGGTTCGCAATTTCCTGCGAGTTTCAGATCATAAAGTACTTATTGCCCAGGTGTGGATGGATTTCCTTCTCAGTAGTACATGCTCT